GTGGAGAATAAAACCCAGATGACCCAGATAAGTTAGATAGGATATCCATTAAACTTTTTTGCCCATTTTAAAGTCTTTAACCTTTTTTCTTGATAGTGTTTATGAAGAGGATGGGGTTAGAGATTAGGGGAAAATCAGTACATTTTTCAAAAGAGTAGCTCTAGTCTGAATCAGTCAGTAGCTGCCTTGTGTTTTCACCTTCTTTTCAAAGCTTCTTGAGTAAGGGAATGATTCAGTAAAGGTTTGTATGTGTACTGTAGCTTTCAGCACAAAGCTCTGAAATGCTCAGCACCATGCCAGAGCTTGGGGGGCACTTAGTACTTTTCTGTTGTTGGTTGGCATGAATCAGTGGACTCATCCTCCAGGCATAGCGACATTCTTAAGTTTTCCCATTTTGTGTTGTGTAATTTACCTGAAGCAGGCAGTTGTTAATCATCTACCTTCTGAAAGAGATTAAAAGAAAAGTAAAACAAAAATTCCTAGTGATGCCCTTATCCTGCCAATTGCCTGGACCTCAATGGGTTTGTTCCTTAGGGTCAGATTATAGGTGAAACTGCATTAATAAGCTCTTAGTTAAATCCCTGTTAATGGTGCCTAAGTTCTATGTAATTACAGCTTATGTCAAGTGGGATAATGACTAGAATGTTTTAAGACAGGGATGGGGCTTGGATATTTCCCATCTTTAAAATTGTTATTGTTATTTTAGCTTTCTGCTTTTGTTTGAATTTAGTAAGAAAGGTAAGTTTTTTTGTTTGTTTTTAAAACTGCATCATACTGTGAAATCTGCATACTTTCTGCTCATGAATATGGGGAGGATATTTGAGGGAAAGACAAGTTTTCAGTGGCAAAAATATTCTTATAATGAGTATTTACTCCCCCCCCTTTTTTTGTGGGGCAGGGGGGTGGTGGGTCTGTTAGGAAGAGACACTAGCCTCAGGAATTTCCACTTACAGTTCAAGTTCACTGGACCAGAATTATAATATAAAGTTAACTGTAGCAGCAAAAGAGACTAAAAATTGCATATATTGTTTCCTAAACTTTTTTTTTTTTTGTACCAGGGATTGAACCCAGGGGCACTTAACCACTGAAACACATCCCCAACCCTTTTTTTTTTAAAAAATATTTCATTTAGAGGCAGGGTCTCCCTGAGTTGCTTAGTGCCTCACTAAGTTACTGAGGCTGGCTTTGAATTAGCAATCCTCCTGCCTCATTCTCCTGAGCTGCTGGGTGTGCACCACACACAGTTGTTTCCTAGGCTCTTGAGAAGAAGATGGCAAGTGAAAGTCTAGTTAGGGATGAATGTTAAGAGAGTCCTATTTATAGCTTATGCTATATTCTCTTGAACTTATCAGTGTGTCTGTGCTGTTAGTACCTTTTGGAGACATCATTATGTGTCTATTTGGAACCTGTAATGGAGAATTGGCTTGGGTCTCTTTAATTTTTTTTTTTTGTAGTTGTAGATGGACAGAATGCCTTTGTTTTATTTGTTTATTTTTATGTGGTGCTGAGGTTGAACCCAGTGCCTCACACATGCTAGGCAAGAGCTCTACCTCTGAGCTATAGCTCCAGCCCCTTGGCTTGGGTCCCTTGATCCTCCTCATTCACTAACTGAGAACATGGTAAAAAAGCTATTATGAATTCATTAATGCTTTGAATTCATGATTTTTAGTTTATTAGTCATATCTGTATGTTCTTCAAAGCAGTCATTTGTGTGCGTGAGACTTTAGCTCACCTACAGATAAAGTGCCTGGCTTTGTCTGCATTCACAGAGCCCTTCATATAACCATGCTATTCCTCATGGGCTCATTGCCTTACAGCATGCATGTCTCTCTTCTAAAACAGGTATGTCACCACAACCTTGCTTAAAAATCTTAAGTACTTTTTGGCTTACAGAAGAAAATTTAAAATGATTAGCATTTTATTCAAGGCACTTTACAAGTGCCCAGCCAGCCTTCGGACTTTCCTCAGGACCATGCCCCCTCTGTTGACTCCAGCCTCAGTAAACTGCTCTGCTGTGCCCCTGGGCCTTTGCACATACTCTTTGCACTGAACCATCTCCCTGTTCTTCCCTACTTGCTGAAGAGCTGCTCTGGCTTTAGATTCACATCATGTGTTGTGTTCTCAGTGTAGCTTTCCTCAGGGTGCTGAGGCCGGGCAGGTGAGCCCTCCCGGGGCTCCTGGAACACCTTGTTTGCCCCTTCGTTATGGTGTATCGCTTAGGTGTTGTGATTGCTTGTGGGTCAAAGCTACAAAAGTTACATCAATAAGTTTAAAAGAAGGCTGGGGTAGAAGTTATAAATAGCATCACTCACCATTTACCTCTATGTCCTCCTTTCACATTCTCAATTCCTCAATCATTCATTTTTTCTATTTTAGGGCCTGAAAGGAACCTGGCATACTGAGGAAATTAAATATGTGTTTATGGAATGAACAAAATGAAGGAACGAAGGGAAGTGTGCAGGAAGCTTAGTGCAAGGCTTTCACTTAGGCCAAATTTAAGAAAACAGGCCCTGCTCTTGTTCTTCTTCCTAGAACCAGATCCTCATTAGCGTCCAGAGGTCTTCATCAACATAGGACCAGACCTTCATTAATAAGACTAGATCATATTAAGATATATGCTTAGGGCTTTAAAAAAGTTGTTTTGCAATTCAGGAGTTGGAGGGGGTCTGTTTCCTGCCACTAAAGTGCTCTTGATTGACCTGAAAGCAGTTTGGATGGACACCCCAAGGGGAATCAGTCATGGCCATGGTTATTAGAGGAATTGTTTGCTGACCCTGGGTATCCTTGGCGAAAGCTCAAGGAACTCTGTGAGATGCTTCTCTCTTTGTGTGTGAAGATCTTTTGATCCTAGTAGCAAAACTATCCTTCAGGCACAAGAAGCTGGGTGATATCATCTGGTGGGTTATAGGTGGCTGGTCAGGGTGTTGAGGTAAGGCTATGTGCACACAAACCAACTCTCTCCACACCTGTCACATGCATGATATGCTTTAGCTGGCACTGCTTCTTACTCTTTCCTGCACATCACCTGTGCCCCCCCGTAAAGAGCCTTTGTGTGAGTTAGAAAGAGGCATTCCCTCTGCTTGAATGGGGTTGAAAAAGCCAGTTCCCTCAGGATGGACACAGATCCATGCGTGCAGGGGTTGGTTATCTGACAAAGTCTTTGTGCAAAGGTAAAATCTTTTTTCCCTCTGGGTAGTGTGTAAGCAGCACGAGCTAATGGTATTTGAGTAATGATAATGCTCTCAGACTGGAAAAAATTTGTGCTCATAGACATTTTAAGTGAAGTTTTTGATTTACTTTTATCTACTTGCTTTTATTTTTAGAATTATTTTATTTTAATAGTTTTTAGATATATAATAAAACAATACAAAGAAATCTGGTATTCCTCACACCTGGATGCCTCTGTAATGGACCATTAATATGGTTCACTTCATACAATTATGAACTAATTTGGATACATTATTATTAATTGAATTCCATACATTGTTTGGATTCTTAACAATATTTTTAGGTCCAGGATCCTATCCAGGATAACACATTGCAGTTTGTCATCTTGTTTCTTAGGCTCCTCTTGGCTGTGACAGTTTCTCAGACTTTCCTTGTATAACCTTGATGGTTTTAAAGAGTACTTATTTATCAGACGTTTTCCCCATGACTAGACTGGGTATTTTAATAGGTTTTATTATTATTTACATATGGTAAGGCCAACAGATCTGGAGACAACTGCCATTGTAAAGATAGCTTGTTGTACTGATAGATCCTAGGAGTGGGTTCCACATCGTGTCCTGGGGGCATTTGGGGAAGCACTTGGGGTCTGTTCTGAGGCAGAAGGAGAGAGGAATCATGGAGAAGAGTCTTTATTGTTTTTTTTTTTTTTTTTTTTTGTGTGTGGGGAGGAACAGGCAAGGTTGGACAAGCAGGCTTAGGCTTGGCTAGTTTGAATGGGTTCTTGGGCACAGGGTGTCTAGTACCTAGCTGTCTGGTACCTGGGCCTGGGGTTGCTAGGGCAGGTGGATAGGGGCAAGGAGCATGAAATCCCTTTAAGGGAAGAGGTTTGGATGGATTATGGACTGGCTGGTTTGTATTTGAAAAGTGCATCCCTGGGAGGATGAATCCCCCTGAGATGCTGAGGCAGGTGGGTGCTAAGAAAGGTGAGGATCAAGGCAAAGTGACAGAGCTGGCTGTGTCTGCTAGGTTCAGATAGGGTAGATGCTAAAGCATGAAGTTTACAAAAGATGGGATCATACTTACTACCTGGGGAATACGTGTTTTGATGAGGGAGATCCCAGAGCTGTTTTCACATCACATCAAGGGTCCACACTGTCAATATCACTTATCACTGTTGATGTTGACCACCTGGCTAATCAGGCTCTACTTTTGTGACACCACTTTCACTTGGTGCTTGCCTTTCATGATTATCTTGTATTTTGAAGTATGTGTAGAGTAGGATATCAATAAACATGCAGTATACTTTTCTTTGGGTCTTCTTATTGCAGAAGAATCAACCTGGGAATTGTGAGCTCCAGTTCTTAGGGGTGGGGATCTCTTTGGGGTGGGTGTGTCTACAGAATGGAGTTTTGAAGCTTAAGCCTCAGGCAAGCCAAGAACATAGGGGAGATTTGTGTCTGAACATCCCCACTGTTCCCTAAAATGGTAGCACTTTAGAGCACTTGAAATTGCTGAATGAACATCTTAGTAGGTATCTGAGGCTGTCCCAGGAGTTGAGGGTTGAACACCTCCGAGATGAGACAGGATGTATCCATAATGCGGATAGTAAGTCAGGTTGCTCAGTGCTAGCCTATTTTCTGAATAAATGTAAGAATTCCTGGTTACTCCGTATGTTGCCTGATCAGTATCTTCTGGAGCCCTTGGATGTTGGTGGAGATGATGAGAAAGGCACAAATCTCCCTGCCCTGCTTTTGAACATCCTGAACGGAAAGGCAGAACACCCAGTAGTTTGGGGATTTACCTGCACGTCATCCTTTTCTCCTCATCCTCAGGGTCGAAGTCGCAGAACTGTCTGTGGAACTCCCTCATCGATGGGCTCACCGGGAATCTCAAGGAGAAGCCACGGCCAACAATCGTTCATGACCCACGGCCCCCGGAAGAAATCCTAGCAGATGAATTACCACAGCTAGATAGCCCCGAAGCCTTGGTGAAGACATCATTCAGGTTTGGTGGATGAAAACTCACTTTGTTCCTTTTTATCTGCTTGGGAGCTTTTTTTTTTCAATCCAGTTGGGTGCATTGCCAGTGTGGCCTGCAACTTATGTCATGTCTTTGTGCTGAGTAAATTAGAGATGATGAAGGAGAGCTGGAATCAGTGCTGGCTGGACTCCTGGCTATGTGTCCCGAATGTAGTGAAGATTATCTCAGTGGATAAGTTGTTCTTGGTATTTAATTGATATTGGCATTTAAATGTAAAGAACTTACTGATGTTGACAATTTAAATTGGATTAATGAGTCTTTTGCTTCAAAGGAGGATGACGCATCCAGATAAGTGCACAGAAAAAAAGTGTGTGGTGGGATTCATTCAACCCCGTGTCTCTGGAGTCTCTTGCTGGGGGAGGGTTTCTGGTTGTAAGAGATGTAAGAGCTGCTGTCAGTTGAAAGAAAGTGAGAATCTTCTTGTGTTGGTTCCCAGATGGCTGTCTACTCTGTTCTTGTTCATCGTTTAGTCTTGCCTCTCCCTGTGAAAGCCTCTTATTTTCATTTAATATTGTATTCCATTTTCCTTATAACTCTATCCCTGACCTTCTCACCTGGGCTTAATGAAAATCAGTCTGGGTATGAATGTGGTGTAAAAGGTATTTTTTTTTTATCTTGAATGAGTATTGAAACATACAGTACTACTCATACCATAATTAAAATCTACCTGGGCGTGGTGGCACATGCCTATAATCCCAGCAGTTCAGGAGGCTGAAGCCAGAGGATCGAGAGTTCAAAGCCAGCCTCAGCAACTTAGGTGGTAAGCAACTCAGGGAGACCCTGCCTTTATATAAAATATTTTAAAAGGCTGGGGATATTACCCAGTGGTTCAATGCCTCTGGGTTAAATTTCCAGTACCAAAACAACAACAAACAAACAAACAAATACACAACCCCCTTCCCCAACAAAACCCAGAAATAAGATCTAATCAATTTTCCAGCTTGTCTTCCTCCCCTTCTTTCTTCCAGTATCCTTATTTTTAATCTCTTGCTTTTCTTTCCATCATAGACTTATATTTTCCGCATGGTTAGTAGAGTATATAGATCTCACTTCTGATAATTTTTGGGGTCTGTGAAATATTGAAAGATATGCTCTTTTGCATCCAGGTGATGTGTGTAATTGCTCAATAAAAGCCATTTCATTATGTGAAGGTTATTCTTAGTAAAGACTGCATTATAGATGAGTTTACAACAAAAGTGATGAATAGAGGTTTGGATTTCTTTGTACAAAGTGGCGACTACATGGGTAAGACAAGAATCGCAGCCAAGTGCTTTTCTTATTCCCTAGGAGGGATTTGGTTATTACATTATGAGGTTGTGAATAAAATAAAGCCCACTCACCCGAAGCCACATCCCGTGAACCTGCAGCTCTCTGCAGGTGACTGTGGTGAAAGAGGGGGCATCGGATGGCTTTCTTGGTTTATGTTTTCTCACTCTGGAGCCAACCTCTCCACAGGGCTCTCATAGCTACTTCTCCATCTCAAAGCAGGTTTATTGTCTTCTTCAATGAACAGCAGAAGGGTGCTTTCCAAGAACGAACACCTCCATGACCACCACCTGTTCCCTTTGCCGTCTCTTCATGCTTTTTAGTAGATGGAATGTACTGACTGGTGGCCCTTCACTTGATCTGCTAGTTGTACCATGTGTCAATGTGTGGGTTCCTGAAAGAGACTAAATTATAAGTTTTTTTTAAGTCAGGACTTATTCCTGGTTCCTTGTAACATTTGGCAGAATAGGAAGGACACAGAAGGTACAGTTAGGCCAATCCTTTAGCAATTGAGGCTAGAAATTTCATTGCCATTGACTACTCATTTATTGCTATGCTGTTCTGGAAGCACTCTTTCTTCCAAAGGAGATGGTTGATTCTTTCCTCCTCCTCCCCCTCCCCCTCCCCCTCCCCCTCCCCCTCCTCCTCCTCCTCCCCCTCCTCCTCCTTCTCCTCCTCCTCCTCCTCCTCCTCCTCCTCCCTGGGGATTGAACCCAAGGGGCACTTTACCACTAGCTACATCTCTATATGACTTTAGGATTTCAAAGAAGAATGAACTCTGGCTGGACTTTTAAGTAATGCTATAGGAATGTATCATTTATGCATTCCCTCCCTGCCCTCAGTGTCACTCAAGGTCTGAAAAAACTGGAGAATTGCTGGCTCCTGGTATCACTGACACAGGAGAAACGGTGCATTACACCCCTGCAATTTTAAACTTCAGTTGCATCAATGATCAGTGCTCTCGGTAAGATAGCTCTTCTTTTGCCAATGGACATAGTCTTCCCTCTGCTGAGGTTGAAGCATCAGGTTCTTCCTTTTAACTCTGGAATCCAGAACTTCTCAGCCCCATGCCCTGAATGTGCATGTATGTGTGTGTGCACACACACACCTCCAATTGGGGGATCTGCACATATAGTTGCACCTCTCTGCTTTGGAATGTCATCTTTGCTGAAGGGCATGTGGTTCCCATGGATGGGCATCATCTGTCCTCCTGAAGCTCCTCTGTAGGGTCATCATCACTGAGTGATGCAGGAAAAGTTATAACTTTGGGTTTACCCATTTTTTTTTCTCCTTGTTCATATGTGGAGGGGATTTGGAACCTGGGGCCATGAAATATCATCAGCTCCTATTATCAAACAAGATTGAAATTCCAATGATAATGAGCCTATTGTACCGAATTATTAGGAATCCAGTCTTTTCTTGGGGTTCTTCTCCCTAAATATTCCTAAGGGCCCCCAGGCTTACTGACAATGGTTTCAGTGTTTGTCCTTTTCCTGATCTGCCTTCTGTCAAGAAATGGGGTCTCATGTTGAGGGTGGACTTTCTGACCCCACTGAGGTTATGAGTCTACATCACCAACCCAGATCTCCTCTTCTTTGGAATGTTTCCTCTCCGTGACTTCTGTTGTCTTTTCCTGACACCTGGGCTTAGGTGGTACTACCAGTTTTTCTTATAATGTTGACCTTCAAAAGGAAGGGGCTAGATGCTTCATTCCACTTTCTCCATGAATCTTTTGTAGCTCTCTGCAAGTAGGCTGGTATATACCAGCCACTTCCAGGACAAAGAGAGTACCCTTGTTTAATATTTGCATAATGTTTTCATTCAAGTAGTTCTTTCCAGATCAAAAGGACACTCTGCTCTGTAGTTAAATTCTCCTTTCCATTCCCATTACCTATTCCACTTAATAGGTAGAATTTATAGGTAGATTATAAATTTATAGATAGTAGGTGTTTTTCCAAAAAGTTTCAAAAGTATATGTGTCTCAGTCTCCCCTGGGTTCTCTGTTAAAATAACAATAACAACAGCTATTCTCTTATTTCCAGAAGCCTTATGATGTTGTCCACTGTAGAGATGAAGAAACTGACTCAGAGAGGTGTATCTCAGGTTCTGATTAAATACAGATGCAAATAATATAGATGATTGCTTGGAGATTGGTGGTCACCAATGGCAGCAGTAAGGGGTAGCTTGTGTAGCTGTTAAGCTATATGTCAGCCTTTGGAATATCATCACATAAACATCTCTTTTAGACTTTCATAAAAAGCATGCCCGGGATTCAAATGCAGCTTCAAGACAAGTCCCTGGGACTCCTCTTCCAACTGGGATGCCACTTCTGAGTCTGTTTTGTAAGCATTCTGGGACAGCCATTGGTGGCCAACACTTTTTATGTCAGTTACCAATCACGCAGGAGGTGTTGCAGGAAGTGAGAATTTGACACACAGATTTAGAAATGAAGATTTTGGAAAATGAGAGGCACCACCTTTCTCCCCACAGGGCTATACACTGATAGCTGACGTGTGTGAAAATGCCATCTCAATTCTGAATATGGTCCCTGATACTCTTCCTTGTTGTCCCTCTCTTTGCTAGACAGTGCTGAGCAAATGCTGTGACTTGGAGCAGAGAGTTCAGCAGAGTCTCAGGAGGAGGGTACAGGGGATGGAAGGATGGGTTTTTCATTCTAAGCTACCCAGTTACGACTATTCAACTTCTGATAGTGGCTGTATTGGGTTTTAGTTTCAATTCTATTTCTATTGGCAAATTATTTTCTTCATTTATTTAAACATCTTTTTTTTTTCTTTTCTTTGTTTATTTCCAAATACATGAGAGTATAATTGACCATAAAAACTGTATATATTTATGATGTATAACGTGATGTTTTGTTGTATGTTACATTGGAAAATGATTAAATCAAGCGAGTTAACACACACCTCACCTCACATGCTTGCTTGTTTATTCTTTTCTTAATTGTCACAGAAGTTGGACCAGGACTGGCCCTGACAGTTCAAACTCAGTTGGGCATCACAGTCACTGGGTACTTATTGACATAGATCATGGGGCTCACCCCCAAGTGTGGGAGGGCTCTGGAATGTGCTTTTCTAACAAGCTTCAGGTGATCTTGTTGCCGATGGTCGAAGGACTATTGAGCTAGTTGATATTTAATACCTCTTTGAACTTGAAAATATTTTGTTATGTTAATTTGAGCAGGCCACTCACCTAATTTGTCTTCAGTTCTGAAATCTATGACATGGGGATAAAACATTCACTTCCCAGGGGCTTGGGGAGGATTTAAAAGTGACCTATGTGAAAGAGATAAGCAGTGAATGGCAGAATGTGCTCAGGAAGTATTGATCTTGTATTTCTGTTCAGCACTTCCTGGAATGCCCTTGAGCCTACCCACAGAAAATATGTGGATCAAAGTCGGGTTTTGTGGCTCCAGGTGCAGACACTGTGAGCTTCGAAAGCCCACTGAGCCTTTTGCATGAGAAATCTGCTTTCAAAAACGGATACTCTTGAAAGGAAAAAGTGGAGACTTCGGTGCCTGGAAAGGTGACCCCCTGGGAAATCACCCTGGGCCTCTCTTTTCCTTATTCCTCATGAGCCTCTTGCTCTGTCTGGGCTTTTCTTAAAGGTGAATAGAGAATGAATTGAATCTGGGACTAAAGCAGATAGACAAGTCCAGCCAGTGTGACTGGCGACAGGAA